GAACGAAAGCCATGAATGCAGCACTGCCTTTTTAAATCCCCCTGTGGGCCAAGAGTGTGAGGATGGCCCCCAAAGGGTGACACTGGCTAGCTCAAAAGCTTCTCCGAGGTCAAGAAAGACAACAATGTGGGCTTGGGCGTCTCCGAACCCAATGCCGCGGCGTTCGTAGTTAGAGTGGTAAGGCTTTCGAAAGTGCCCACTCCTCTGGTTGAAGCCATATACAGGTGTTTATGAGGAGGGCCAAGCTTCCACCTCAGGCGACTCCATCACCATCCTTCAGACTAACCACCTTGAAATGAAACTGGTGAGGGAGATGGGTCTCACACTGCCGGGGATCCCCCAGGTTTCGGAATCGGTGTATGATGTCCAGCCTCCTTCCATACGACAGGGGAGTTGCCCAGCTCGCCCAAAAAAATGTCTGGTTGATGAATCCCAGGACAGCTGAATGTCAGAATGGCCAGACCGAGTGATCATGGCCATAGGTGATACCATCATGCACCGGAGCAGTTGTCTCGATGAGAGTGATGTGAAAGGCCCCTGCCTGAGAGCTCCTGGTCGAGTGAAGTCTTCATCCGTGACATCCCCAGCCTGGCATGCTGCTTGGATCACCATCACCCTCTAGGGATGGAGGGTGGCTTGGACGTCCTGGAGATCCTGAGGAAGTAGTTGAAGCCATGGCCCGCTCTGGAGGTGAATTAGGTCCAACCAGACGCTCTGCCTCCTTGTTGGGGTCTGCCGGGTGCTTGCAACCCGAGCCACACTGCGACGCTGCCCAGTGGCAAATGTTAACTTGGTCCAAATCTCAGTAAGGTGGAGGAGAGGAAGGAGTGCTTGTAGGAGGCACACCACTCGAACCATTTAGCCTGCCGGACCCTGTGTGAGACTTGTGGTGCATGCCGCACCACTTCCCTGAGCAGACGCATTGGACTCAACTGTGGGATTACGCTGATGCATCTTGCGTACACACATTGATGCGGTGGGTTCTGATTCCCTGATGTCCTTCATTGTAAAAACCACCAGTCACGTTTATCAGGGACCCTCCGCCTGTAATCTTAGGTATTGCTGCTCAGCGCACATGTGAAGGCCACCTGCAAGCTTTGAGTGCCCTCATCTGGGTCTTCTGGAGGGAGACTCCGCCAACAACGCTCAAGACCTCCTGGAAGCACTGCCAGTCGGCTTTTTTAGTTTCATCTGGGGGGCGTAGGAATGTGGGGAGGGGGGAGCGGGCACCGCTGGACCATCAGCCGTAGTGACACATGCCAAAAGTGATACTGGTGAGGTGGGGGGCGACCTCCTCCCATCTCTGCCCGCTTCGAGAGCACACCGCATAGCCCTCTAGTAGTGAGTGTGTCATCCAAGCGGCCACCAGTAGTAACTGGGTTGGCTCACCATTATTGAGGAGGGCGATTAATCAGGGACCTCTTCCAGCACAGCCGCAAGGCAACGGTGCCTCCCGCTGCTGTGGTTAGGGATGAGACAGAGAAAGCATTGGGTGCGTGGGCCCATTGGACATCCCCAGCCACAACAAGACCCTCCCGTGGGGCGCTGAAGTGCTGACCACCTCTGAAGATGTCAAGGGGTTGGTGTGCCTTGTACCGAGGCTTCTGTAAATATTGTAACCACGAGAGGTCCATCACGCCAGGTGCGTGTAGGGTGACAGCCTTGAACCTCAACGCCCTCTCCCAACAGTCGATGGGGTCAGTGGAGATTGAATGAGGAGATAGAGGTTCGAACGTAGATCGCCGTTCCCCTGCCAGTCCCTTCCAGGCGTTGACCGTTGAATGGTAGGCAGGGAAAGAGAATCCCGGAATACGTGGCTGCATTTGACGTGACAAATCGGTGAGTGTCTCCTGAACAGGGGAAGAAGAAGACATCAACTCACATCCTGAATGCTGCTTCAATCACTAAGTGAATTTTCCGCTGCAGCCCACAAAGTTCCATGGAGGATTTCAAGGGCCCCCGCCTGGCCCCACCGCAGAGGTGGGCTCCTGTGATTCCCATTCTCTGCCTGGGACTCGTCGTCCGTTGTTGGGACTCCGGGGGCCTCCTCCTCCATCACAGACATGGAAGGACTCCTGGATGATGTTGAAGTTCTTGAAAGTTCACGTTCCATGGGAGTATTTCATGTCCAGTTAGGACCACGCCAGCATCCACATGACAGGGCTGCCTGCAGGCGCCCCTGTCCTCTGCAGATGGGCACAGCAGGCGACAGGAGGAGCGCTGAGATGACCCCGATATGGTTTTCTTCAGTCGATCGGGAAGGAAATTCGACCATTACTATGCAGAGCATTGAGCTGGACGCCCGTTCTCGAGGCGGCGTGGCTGGCCGTCACTGGGCTATGCTGGGTGGCTGTCGACACTGCGTGCAGCATAAGATATGGGGGTGCACACTGCGGCCCGGCAATGAGTGGCCATGGGCTGCCAAGTACCTGGCGGGGGGGAACATCTGCCTGTCGCTGGACCGCTCACAGGAGGGGGGGGCCTGTCTTGGGAAGAGAAGGGAGAGGAAGTAGAGGCCTGTGGCCGTATGGCAAAGGAATGTTGGTTGCCCAGCTGGGACCTGCTGGGTAGCGTTTGCCTGGCCTGTGGCCTGTTTTTTTTTTCCCAATGATTCTGCCTTCTTCTTGGCCACCTTGCCATCTGACTGCCGCAGTTGACCGCGCCTGCTGCAAACCAGTGTCTGCCCTCTGATGCCCCCCGCGGGGGAAGCCCAGTGCTCGGGGAACTCGCTAGGTATTGCCCTCCGCGGCTTGTATCCGGGGGGAAAGCGTGATGTGATTGTGTTTTGGAGCACCATGCTGACTGTTGCTGGGCAGTTCCATAGGCTCTGGGTGGTGTCGGGGCTGTCGGGTCGTTCCACGATGAGAACCTGCTGGCCTGCGCTGCCCCATCCATCACTGGACAGCTCCGGTTTCCAGGCATGCGTGACCTCTTTTGAGCAGTCCGGCTCACTACCATGCATCTGGGCAACTTGGGCGCTGGCCCGAAGGGGCTCGCCAGGTGGATGTTTGTAGGATTTGCAATGCAGTCTTCGAGTCGTGTGCCTTGCTGCACACACCACACTTCTTCTCTCGCTGGAGGTGGCCTGCAATAGTTGAACCCCTGGCAGTTGAAGCATTGCATACTGGGCATGGACAGGTATGGTCGGGGTCTTGAATCTTCCCAGACCCCAAGGTCCAGGGTGCGTGGGAAGTGGACCTTGTGGTGGATCAGCACCTGGGGGTGGAAGCACCCTTGTTCACCGTTGCAGTGAGTCGCTCCGCCTTGACATTATTGGGCAACTTCTCAGAAATGGGGTCCGTGGGAGGGGCACAGGGACGTGTTAAAAGTCACCCCCTTGTACACCTTCTCCGAAGCAAGCATGTTTCCACTGCCTGGGATGGGTCACAACCAGCCCTTCAATCCTGTAAGAGTCTTCGATCCCGAGGAAATGACCAGAACCTCGTTCCTGAGAGTGGGAACTCGCTGCGGTGGAACTTGAAGGTGGGGGGGGAGACCCTTCTAGATACTTTCAAACCCGTAGTTGGGACTCTTGAATTTGTTTGAAGGCCTCCTGGTTTTGCTTGTGCCCGAGCTGCGCGGGAACTTCTCCTTTCACGTGGAGTCAACCAGTCACGTCCACTGTGGAGTGGCCAACGCAACCTGGTGTAGGGACCTGGATGGCCATCCATTCCTTGCCCACTTGAGGAGCTACTTCATCCTGGCTTCCTTCCACGACCCCCTAGGCCACCTGGGGGTGCAAGTCTTCTTGGGTAGGTGGCTGCCCTGCTGACGGACCTGTGGCAGATATGGTAGGCACGAGTAGGTCTCACTGCATCCTTGGGGCCTTCTTGGTGGGGGCTCCCACCCTGCCCCACGTCGTACCTCACTGTCCCCGCATTCCCAAAGGAACGTATTTAGGCCGCTCTCCTGGATTCTGCATAGGTGACTGTAGGGTGTGGGTGGACTGACAGAGCCAGCTCCAGCAGAGCCTGTGCCTGTGACCTCACAGAGCCCACACCGGGTGCAGTGCAGAGCTGTGGAGGTCAGAGCCCCAGTCGGGGCCCGTATCCACCCTCTCGTGGCCCCCTCACTGTTCTGAAGCCACTGCTCGAACACAGTCCAAGGATATCACCAGGAAATGACGCTAATCTGTGCGTAAACTCAACACTGATTTGCGAACACACTACACACTGTTTTCCAATCTTCGTCCACTGATAATCCTTCTTGATGTGAATCCAATTCCGATGGTGAACGTTTCTTCGTATTCTATATGCCCAGAATGATAATGCCTTGTGCTGTACAGCCATCCTCTCGTATGTGATTTGTCCGGTATTGCGCTCGAGAGTTTCTCTGTACTCTATAGATAGATTATTAAACACTGGTATCCTTTTATGGCAAGAACCAAATCATGCGTTTATTTTATCTTCTGTGATTCTGTCACAACCGCTTTTTAAAAACAATTCTGAATTTACCTTCAGGAAGTTGTTGGACATTCATTATTTGGGACATTAAGTTCCCAGTTTGGAATTCCAATCAAATTGAGTTAAGTTAAAGTCCCCCTAGAATTACTACGTTATCGTGCATTATGGCCGTACCTAATTTCCTCCAAGGAAGTCTTCTGGGTTCCTATTTAGTAATTGGAGATTCCTTGCCACCTTCCCTAGATTATTAAACCTGAGTACAGGTGGAAATTTGGGCGTCGTTCGCGTTTTCGTTTTTTCGTTTTGCGTTTTTGTTACCCCCTTTACTGCCTCTCTTAACATAACAGTAGAAAGCGTACTAGGTGTTAGCACGACTGGTGTGGGTGGCATCTGGTGGCGGGGGTTATATCCTTAGATAACGTTGGGCTTTGATATGAATAAACCAAGGTAGGATAAGAGCTCTTAGCCTGCAATACTGGCTTTGTTTAAAGAAACAATAATTAATAATCATTATCAAAGAATTTCCGTTTAAATTCAACACAGAAAAATAGCTAAAATACATTAAGACGAGCAAGGAAACATGGATACGTTACTTACCTTCGTCAGGCATACCGAGTTCTTCAGCAATGTGTCTGGCGACGCCCTGGGGGAAGTTGCCTGGGGGGCCGTAGAAGAGCTTCCTCTGGCCTGGCAAGTTGATGGTATTCCACGTAGAAAATAAGTTAAAAAGGAGAGCCACACTCCTACTTGTAACACAATATTCTCCTCAGGTTCTCCCTCTGAGCCTCACACTGAACCTCGACGTCTGTGATTAAGATTAAAACAATATTTAGATATTTTATGTATGGGTATTTACTGTTTGTATGAACACGAACACGGAAAAATAACCTTATAATCAACCTCCATATTTTGTATTTTTTTTGTACATAACTATTGTCAATTTTTGAGTTTAGTGAGTTTAGAAAATTATTTTATTTTTGTTTTAGCTTAGGGTGAATTACGTTGTTATGTATGCTAGGTTAATTAAATTTACAGAACATATTTAATCGCGAAAACAGAAATAAAAAAAAAGCAAGATACACCTGGCAGCGAGGTGTCTCAGAGAAGATACACAATGTTAAAATTATCACGTATTTCATGCATAGTGTGAGGGAGGAATACTAAAATTAAAGCCACTAAATGGAGGAAAAATGTTGCTTGTCAAGCCTTTCTCCTCTACAATTGTATGTAATGATAAATGTCAGTTTTTAATTGATTGGACGAGTAAAATCAGGGAAGATTTTGGACATGACCAGAAGCTTCGTGGAATGGGTCATTATATGACTGGTATCACAGGATTAAAATTAAAACTTTTCCCCCTGACGAATAGAATTCTTTCCTTGAAGCTCTTTGTCCAATCTCCCAAAAGTGTGTCTAATCCGGACTCTCAAACTGGCTGGCAAATATAGTTTTGTTTGGGCGTGCGAGAAGTGTAACATAGCACTCTGCCTTACCTGGTGGTGCGTCTGAGCGCCTTTGTCATTTGAAAATGCGAGAATACGTTTTCTGATCGGCTGAACCTTTCGGATAAATTATTGGGATGTGATGAAGTCAGTTTTCAGTTTAATTAATGGAAATTCCAAATTATTAATTTTTATACATCACAGAAAAAAATTTAATGGAGCATGACATCAGTGCAAAAACTGTGGCATCTTTGTTGCTGGAACAAAACGTATATCCATTGCATCCTCATTTTTTGTGACATTTTTCTATACATTAACAAAGCGTTATTTTCTAAGCATTTCAGCAACGCAGATGTTCAAGTTTTTGCATATCTGCCTTATGTTTACAGATGGGTCAGTCGAACGCGTTAGATAACGTGAAAATGCTTTTTCGAAGTGAAAGATGTTTTGTTCTGCCACTTGGCACGGTGAGGAGGGACCATGGGTACCATACCTGAAAAGTTATAAATCCTGTTGGATTTTATGTTTCGTGTCAGGCCATTCTTACATTGTGCACCATGCTAGTGCTGCCATCTTGCAGGCTTAGGCCTACGTTCATTTCCATGTGATGCTGACTCAGTCTCACCTAGCAGACGCCTACAGACAAGAAGTGCCTCCTCTCTCTCCCGCCGGGCTGGACCTGGCCCTCAGGGCCTCCTAGACATACTGCATAAAAAACTCCAAATAAAAACTATGGAACGCCTCTGAAGAGTATTATTCGTCATTTACCAGAGGTATAACCTTTTTGCTTGATATATTGCTGTGGAAAGTGACAATCGTAGTTCCTGATCAGAAAAGGAAGTGCAGAAGAGAAATCTACAGACCAGTGTCACTACTGTCAACCACTGACAAGATTCTGAGACAATAAACTCATGGTAAAAATGACAGCTTTTTTCGACTATTACTCGTTTATTTGTAACCTTCAGTATGGCATCTAAAAGATAACTATGCTGCAGATCTGCTGTTAAACCTCTCCACTATATACGGCAACAGTCTCTGGCTGAATCCAAGGTTAACTGTGTAATAACTCTGCATATTACTGGTGCTTTCAGGGTGGCATGGCACCAGGAACTCTTGGCAAAACTGCAAGCACTTGGAGTCCCCAGCTCTGCATTGTACCTCCTCAGTGATTAACTTAAGGTAGATCTCTAAATAGTTCTTAACGAGACGAGTCAACAAAATACTATAAATTAATATAATATTATCTTTATTTCTACAAGTACTTGTACAAGATACACAGACCATAGCTGACATACTACTATATAGGAAAACCGCTTGTTATGCAAAGGCATTTCGGGCAAATTAGGTCAGTTTTTTTTCCCAGGATGTGACCCCCACCAGTCGATTAACCACCCAGGTACCCATTTTACTGAGGGAAATGTTTAAACAACCGGCGTAATAAAAACACGCGCAATGCTTCAGCCCTCGGCGGGAATCGAACCCGGACACTCACCATGTGAAGCGAGGGGGCTTTTACCACCAGGCTACGGGCCCCTGGTGCAAGTGTTCCACAGGGAAGTGCGCTTCAAGCCGTTGCTTCAGAATGTTTGCCTCAGTGACCTTCTTCATCTCATCCCAGGATCCCATGCTGCAGAAAGACTGTTCTCTGACATTTACTTATCTCAAGAGAGGAAATGCCAGCTGCTCTAAGTTACATCAATCACCAGTTTACAGCTTCACAGTTCTGGGTAAAACGATGACATATCACATTTTCTCTTGGATAAAAAAGCAAAATGATGATGGTTTCTAGGCACCACGATGGTAATCCTGGAGCAGTGGAAAGAATGAATGAGGAATGTTGGTTACCCGGGGGGATGAAGCTGATTAATGAATCTCAGTATGGATTTACGAGATGTCGTTCCTACCTGACATATTTATTGATTTTTTTCAATAAAGCATTTGGGCAGTAGATAACGATAAAGAATATGACGTTATTCATTGGATTTCAGTATACCTCGATAAAGTACCTCACAAAAGACCTCTTAGGAAAAGTAGCAGCTCATGGTATACGAGGTAAAATTCTAAGATGGGTCGAGGGAAGGCTTAATAATTTGAGAAACAAGAGTTTCCATTAATGGGGTCAAATCTGAATGGGGAGGCAGTCACTAGTGGCATTCCCCAAGGATCAGTTTTTGGGCTTATTGTTGTTCATAATTTACATTAATGACCTTGATGAAGCAATTGCAAGTGACATAAGTAAATTTGCTGATGACACAAGTTATGTCGAATGATTGATTTTGAGGAGGATACTAGTGAAATCCAGGAGGATTTAGATAGACTAATGTCTTGCTCTGAAAAGTGGCAGATGCAGTTCAGTGTAAAAAAGTGTAAAGTCTTAGTCCTTGGGAATAAAAATAACCCTTGAAGTTATGAATAGGTGATGCAGAGCTTGATCACACAGACTGTGAAAATGACTTGGGAGCCATGCTAAACATACTATTAGTATGTAATTTTTATTTGACATATGTCACACTCCCCATATAGGCATGCCTCCCCCGACCGTTTAACCCCCGTACTAAGAGTTAATTTATCTAACAGGGGCCCAAGCACTGTACTGGCCAATCACAGGAAAGCTCAGTAGAGCTGTGAAGCAAAGTGGTTCACTTGTGGGCATGAGTTTTGGCAGACTTAAACTAGGCTGCTGGGTCGCTCACGGGTCTCCATATCTGGTGTTTGCATTTTTGCATTTTTGACCACCGTGTTGTATGCTTGCCCTTAATTATTGTACTAGTGTAAATAGTATACATACTGCAAATATCAACTTGATTCTTTGATGAAGGAAATGCAAATCGTATATCCTCTGCCTTTGTTTTACTTTTTGGTTATCACATTACAACAAGGTGTGTAGGCCATAAATACACCTGTGATCATAATATGGGAGCCTGTCTGGGAGGCTGATCTCTGTATCATTTACATTGTCTCTTGTATCGCTTTTGAATTTGTGTGTTAGCCTTGCTAATGTGTGTATCCTGCAAGTTGTACTGTGTTATTGCTTTGTGCCAAGTGTATTGTAATGGGGGAATGCTACCGACACGTGTTAGGCGACTGGTGACTGCCAAAGAACGAGTCCCATTCAGATCACTCACTTAAAAATAAAATTAAAAAAAAATCTATTAGTATGTTCCAACATTCATAAGGAGGTAGGGGGAAGCTGGGGGTTCCCCCCTACCAGCAACTTTGTCTTCGTCTGCCGTCGTTTTTC